TTGGTATACCTTTCGATCTAGTATATGCTCGATTAATATAACTTGTTCCAACTCTTTGACCATCGATTTGGTGGCTTCGGTGTCATTAGGAGCTATGAATGATCTCAGGACATTGTAATTGTCCTTATCGTTCGCTCCTTGTTCTTCCTATGTCTCTGGTTTGGCTGAGGCTGGTATCAGTGATTGCTATTTAATCTCTTCTTTTTTTGGTTGGTTCCACTCTCCTCGATGTTGAAACCGCAGGCAGCAGGAGCACTTCATCGATAAAAAGCATTTTCCTTGCGGTTGGTTATTCTCCCTAGACCATTTTGACTTCCCCGGTGTGGGAAATTTCAGGACCTGGTGTAAGGTCAAAGGTACCGCCCTCATGTTGTGGACCCATGGCCTTTCGAATAAAATGTTGTACCTCATATCACATTCAATCACGTAGAACTTCATTTTTTGGATTGTCCCAGCAGTGTTTACCAGCAAAGTTATCTCTCCTTTCGTGGTCTCACATGCCATGTTGAATCCATTCAATGCCTAGAATATCGGTAAGATTTGATCCGGTAACCCCAATTGCTCTACGATCCTTGATCTAATGATGTTGGTCGAGCTACCTGGATCAATCAGCACACATTTAACCCGAGATTTATTGATAAGTATAGATATTACTAGTGCATCATTTTGAGGTTGTACGATGCCCTTGGCATCTTTGTCGCCGCATGAAATATCTCCCTCTGGAACGTAATCCCAGGTGCGCTTTTTCCTCGTAATAGATACTTTAGTGCATTTTATCATTAGCCCTTGGGGAACATCAATTCCCCCAATGACAATGATGATCACGTGTTGAGGCTCCTCTTGTTCGACCTGTTTGTTGGCGTCCCTATTTTTGAAGTGGTTTTTGGCTCGCTCACTTAGGAATTCTCGGAGGTGTCCATTATTTAACAGTCAAGCAACTTCTACTCTTAGCTGTCGGAAATCTTTGGTCCTATGACCGTAAGTGTCGTGATACTTACACATCAAGTTAGGATCTCTCTACGTTGGGTCGAACAGCAATTGTTGGGGCCACTTGGTCTCTTTGATGTGCCCTATCTTGGTGCCTCCCTACTCCTGAGTGACCTGCCGAACCCGTTCTTTCTCATCAACCCCCAGCCACTAGGCCCTCGATCATTTCTTTTTCTCATTCCTTACTAGGTGACGCCAAAATCTGTTTCCCTTTTGATCCCGATGTATGGTTGATATCGATCTCGAACCTGTCTTTGATCCTGATCAATGGCTCTCTTATATCTATCATCGGTCTTGCTACGGTAAACAGATCCAGAATGGGCCCTGAGTTGGTCATCCTCAACCTTGATCTTCGACTGGTACCTATTGTGGACATCGGCCCAGGTTACCATCGGTACTCCATCAAATTTTATTTTAGCTATTAAGAGGCCACGGAACTTCGAGTGTTGAGCCTTTGAGTGAATGTCTGAATGGACCAATCATCTACAACTGGTGGCAGGTCCATCCGCTCCATCTGGAATCTTGATATGAACTCCCTAAGCATCTCATTATCCCTTTGTTTGATCTTGAAAAGATTTGACTTTCTGGTCTCGACCTTGATGGCTCCGGCATGGGCCTTTATGAAAGCATCTGCAAGCATAGCAAACGAGTCAATGGAATTTGGAGGAAAGTTGTGGTACCATATCATTTTTCCCTTGGACAAAGTTTCCCTATTCAGCAACATCGACTCGATTTTGTCATCTTCCAAATCATTCCCTTTGATTGCACATGTATAAGAGGTTACATGCTCATTTGGATCCGTGGTCCCATTATATTTGGGAATGTTGGGTAAACGAAACCTCTTTGGGATAAGCTTCGGTGTCGCGCATGGAGGAAAAGGCTTCTGGATAATTTGTTTGGAGTCCGGACCCTTCAATATCAGGGGTGCTCCCAGGATCTGATTGACCCTGAAGTTGTATGTTTTCACCTTTTTGTCGTTTGGCCTCAATCTTTTTCTCGTCTGACTCCACCCGTTTTGTCAATGCTTCGAGCACCTTCATTACCTCTGAAGTTACCCCGGGCTCGACCACACCCAGTCTCTCGGTAATTTGTTTGTCTCTTTGGGTGCTTTTTCGGGATTTTTCAGGCTTGACCCTATTGGGGGCGTGGCTTTAATTCTGTAGTTGTGCTATTGCCGCTTGTTGAGCCTACAACATTTCGAAAATCAGTCGTAAGCTCACCCCATCACCTACACCTTCAGGCGCTTCTCAAGCTGTTGGTCGGGGTCTCCCATGAACAGTGCTTCGGGATCAGTTGGCAAACTGATATTGATGGCCACCTGCGAGTTAGCATCGACCGGGTTGGCGGCTGGGACACTGTTAGGATCGGCAGGAAGCACATCATTATTGGGCACTACATTATTATTTTCTCCGTGATGGCATGACTCAACGTTAACGTTCAAGTGAGCAGACTGAGAGTTTGACATTTTTATGCTGATCTAAATTATGATTTTAAAGAACAAGCGTAAAATAGGGTGTATTATGGAGATTCGTACCAAATCACCACTATTATCCTTAGCCCCACGGTGGGCGCCAAACTATTTACCCCAAAAATGAGTAACAATTAAATTTGTACATGGTTTAAAAGATACATGATTTAATTCAATAAGAAAAATTAAGAATAACAGATAGATGAATTAAAGACAAAATAAATGATCAAACCAATTGCAATACGATGACCAAGCCTGATCTTAGATTGAACAGTGGAATTCGTCTTCAATCGGACCCTCAGTGCAAATTCGGTCGTGAGTTAAGAAAAGAGCAAACAAGATGCCTTGAACAGTCTAGAAGACAAAAGTAAATTTTTTATTGCTTTGAATTGTGTGTTACAATGTGTTAGACTAAAGAAAAGCTTCCCTTTTATATAGTAGGAGAACTTTAGTGCTAGTACAAGTATAAAAAAAGGTAAAAATCTTCTTCTTCTTCCGGTAATTGTTGATCTTTAACTGATATTGAACGGGATTCGCGTTGCAATGTCCGATTGAGGGCGAATATTACGGGCCTCTATCCATCGTGCATAACCGTTCACCGCATCTTCGATGTCCAGAAGCTATACTTGATCCGGGATGAGTCGCTTTACCGCGTCCGATCTTAGATAGATCGTACATTCTTCCTGGGTCTTGATATGAAGGATTCCTGGCCTCGATTATAACCGCATCGATCCGTGCTTCCCTTTTGTTTCCTCCTCGGGGAATCGGGGAAAACTTTGATCCCGATTTTGCCCGGACACAGGGTTACCCCACAACTTGTAATTATTTAGTCATTAATTGCTCCAGATAATGTATAATTGGATCTCGGTATTTGTTAAACCATTAGCGACACTCCATTATTTGGTTCAATCAAGATAAATATCTCAACCATGGATCTGCTATAAACTACAGAGGTGTCGTACAAAAGCACCAAAAGTATAAAGAGAAAAAAACGAAAAAGGGAAAATATGCAAGTCTTTTACGCTCTGCAGGCACAGGTCCATTATCATATTTTACAACTAGCATATGATACTTGATCTTAACACCGATAATAATTCCATTGACTTGGTCTTGACTTCGAAAAGAAGATGTTTATTTCAAAATTTTCCTTTTTCACATGTATGCTTACAAGTTACAAGAAAAGGATTAGTGGTATTTGTAGGTCTTCTTGGAACCATGACACCCTCACTCACACTCACACTTTAAAAAATAAATATTAAAAGTAACTTATTTTCAAAAGTTAGCTCCCGATGTGAAGTTACAAATGTACAACCCTTTGGTTTCATTTATATACGCCTTAGTTTGTTTGGGCACGTAAATTTAAGTATATAAAGAATAATTGTAGATCATGTAAACTTAACTAAAGGAGTGTATAACATATATAATATACCAAAATTACCTTTGAAATCTTGCCGTCTAAAATATGCATGTCATTCATATAAAAAGTAAAATGTTACAACTTAAAGTTTACTAGATATAGAAAGAGACAGTATTTCTAAAATAGACTAAAAAGGAAGGTGAGACACATGAATTAAGAAATATGGTAATTTTTGGAATAATGAAAAGAAAAAAATAAAAAGAGAAAGAATGCAAAGACTTGGTCATACAACATTTCGTTGGTTTATATTTTAAGGGTTTCCTGCACACATAAACTCCATGGTCTCATTAAGAACTAACATGCCAAAATAAGTTCTTGTTGGAGATGTCAGTTTGCCGAGGTGTTGGGCAGGTTGGGATATTAGACTGAAATGTGAAGAGAAGATGAGGCAGACAAATGGGAAAGCGAAAGACCCTAAAAATAGAAAAAATATTATGATGATACATTAAATTGATTCTCCACATCATACCGATAAGGCGCATAGTGAATGATTGAGCCACCGTACGATCTTTAACTTAAGCTTCTTCTATGCCTCCTTATATATTCTTTTGTTTTAATTTTTACTCCTATGTCTTAGTCGTATATTTTTGTTTATTTAAGAAAAGAAAGTTATATTTATCATTAAAGTTTTCATTTTAACATTTTCATTTTATTTTTACATACACTTTCGTATAGGAAATATATGACATTTTTAAGAGAACAAGATTCTTTTTACTATTTTATACTTTGTGTCCAGTCACATGCATAAAATGTATATAAAATTAATAGGAATATTAAGTTACACATAACATGGATACTATATGTACCTCAAACAGTTGGTGTATAATAACCGGAGTCAAGACACTAAAACAGTTGCTTAATCTCTTTATTGGATGTATATCTTGAGACCTTTGACCTTGACGCCTAGTTGTTATTGGGAGTTACGTACATTATTTATTAAAATACAAAAAAATTCTTATTCAGTTTAGTTGAAGGATAAATTAATCAGAAACACGGCTTCAATCGTTGTCTGCTACCCCATACATAAGACTGGAAGCATTACACTGCAAGTTGGCCAGATAGAGTTTAAGGTAAAGAAATCAAATTAAATAGAATACTTCTACGTAGTACTTATTCGATCCACAGAAAATGGTAAGAACCCCATCTATTGAAAAAAATGGAAGAAAGAGGGGTGCACGGAGTGAAGAAGAATACAACAAACTAAGAGCTTTTCTTGAAAAACATGGCCATCCGAATTGGCGGCAATTGCCTAAATATGCTGGTTAGTGTATATGCAACCCCCAAACTCTTTCTGATTGTTGTCATTTCTTATTACTTAAGTATCTTTTAGGAAGAGAAAGTTCTTATTATTTGTTTTTGGATATTTTTCAGGACTAATGAGATGTGGAAAGAGCTGCAGACTGAGATGGATGAATTATTTGAGGCCTGGTTTAAAGAAGGGGAATTATAGCCTTGAAGAAGAGGAACTCATTATAAAATTACACAATGAACTCGGAAACAGGTATGTATACGGCTAAAACCGGTCTCGAAGTACATTCTGGTCTCCGACATAATAAGTCAAGCTCGAGATACAGTAACAGGGGCCCTAGACTGAGGTAGGGATCTTATCAATTTTTAGACCGGATCATAACACCCGCCTCAAGGTTATCAGGGTCGTGATTAGGGATAGGTCCTCGCCTTGTTCAACTTCGAAGAACGTTGTCAAGCTCGGCCAACAGAAGGTCGTGATATTCGTAATAGACCGAATATCACGGCGGTGATCTCGACATATACCGATGTGAGATCAACAATCAGTTAATTAAGAGATTTTTACCTTTTATAGAGTTGTACCTAATATAGGGCTCCCCTACTATATAAAAGGAGTCTGATTACTTGTAAAAGACATTGTAACACGCATTCCAGAGCTGTATATTTTTTTTTCTTTAAGCTCTTGATCTTCTGTATCTTGATATCGATCAAATTGCAGCCAGTTCAAGTGTGACTGACTTTCAAAGAATGTAATTGTTCAAGTCGTGTGATTTGAACTTGTTTTATCATTATTTATTTCAATTACAACTTAATTTATCCTTTTGTGTCAAGTTAATCCACGTATCCTTAAAACCACTTACAAATTCAATTGTTATCCAATTTTAAGGGTAAACAAGGTATATGTGGTATATATATATATACACACACACACACACACACACACACACACACATATATATATATATATATATATATATATATATATATATATATA